TATATAAAAGGTGTGAATCTTTATAACCTTATAAGTGTGTAAACATAGTATTAAAACTTGTTTGGTGTGTATAAACTAACTTTTTTTCTTTTACTTTATTGCAATTTAGGTTCTATTTTTCTTAGCTTATGCGCTAGTTTATCAATAATATATTTCAAGCTAGCTTATAAGTTCTTTTTGTAGTTTTACCAAACGCTAAATTATAATAAGACAGTTTAATACTGCCAAATCAGACCTTAATTTTCTGTGAGACTATATAAGTAGTTTATCATAACTATACATTAGATTTTTTATCTACTATTTCAGATAGCGATAAGCTACCTTATAAGCTAAAAACTAATATTTTGATAAGCTATTTTAGATAGCTTATAAGGTGAAAACTAATTATCGAGCTAGCATCAAACTCAACCCAACAACTCTTTTTAAAGTATGAAAATCTTATTATTTTTATTATTTTATGAATCATAAAGAAACAAAATAACTTTTATGTTTATTTTGGTTATAGTTTAAATTTAAAAAAATATAGAAATATACGGTAGTAATTTTAAATGAAGTAGTTTTTTTAAGGGATAATGACTTAAAAGGGTAACATATTTTTCAATTTGTATATATTTAGTCACTAACTTTTTTTTGTCTATATTTGCCCATTGAACTTTTTTTTGTCTATATCTTACCCTTATGACCGGTTGGTGTGGGTTAATCCGGTTTCCGAAGGCCTTTGCAACTCCGGGAAGATTCCGGTCATCTTCACCGGCAAAAAATTTCAACAAGAACAATATTTTCCTAGAGCTTGAATCCAAACACGCATCCACACATAAACTCGATTTTGTAACCAAGAACCTCCATATCTGCTATGGTTCGCCGGAAACTCGATGCAACTCCTCCAGATCTGTAATGAACAACAACAGTCATAGGAGATGGGTGGTGCTCCAGGGGTCGAGTGGCACTCATGGCATGAACCCATAAATTATTTGAGTTCTTTATCTTGAGGTTTATTTTCAGATCTGATGAAGAACATAAACACACACATGAACACACACTGATGAAGAAGTCGGATTTTTTCAGATCTGATGAAGATTTTCAAGTACCCATTTCATATGGTTGTTCGATTTGCAGAAATGGGTGTTCAATTTGCAGAAATCGGAAGAACAAACTCAATGTATGTCTGATTTTCTAGAACTCGATTTTCAAGAAACCATTTCATATGGGTGTTCGATTTCAAGAACCCATCTGTATGTGAGTATGACTGATTTCTTTTTCATATTTGCATATGAGGTGTGTTTATGCATATGCATATGTTTAGAGAACAAAATCAGAAAAAGATGAAGAAAACGAACACAAACCCAAAAACTCAAACTCAAACACTCACACTCACAAATTGTTTGTGTTTGTTTTATGGATGAACCCAATTTTTGTGTTCATCACAATTTCTGAGTTCATCATGATTTATGATGAAGATAACATGATTTGTGTCGGATCTGATGTTCTAATGGATTTCAAAAACTCAGATCTGGTGTGTGTGTTTTTTCTTAATCTGAAAATCAAAATATGAGTCTGATATGTGTTCCAGATCTGAAAAAACGTTGGCCGGAGAAGATGACTGGAACCTCGCCGGAGAAGACGACCGGAACTTTGTCGGAGCTGTGAGATACGTCGGAGACCGAAAAACCTATGATTGCAGGTAATAAGGATGTTTTTTTAAACAGTTCAACAAGTTCAGTGAGAAAATATGGACAAAAAAAAAACTTCAGTGACTAAATATGTACAAATCAAAAAATATATTACCCTTATAAGTCATTATCCCTTTTTTTAAACATTGAGCAAATTTAAAGAGCAAAATAAAGGGCTTGGTAGTTCAAGTAGTTAATCAAGATGCAAATTTGTAACAATCTTATCAAAGAACATAAGATAAGTAAATTACTATTACAAATTCAAAAGATCTTCTAAAAGTCCATCTTTTTCTAACGTTCTATTATTTTAGTCATCTAATTTGAATGTCTGTCAAAATATAAATGTTAGGCTTGAAAAGCTTAGTAAACATTACTAATGTCAACTTCTTAAGGGAATTAGGTAAGTCCACAATCAAAACCCAAAGTCCAATCCCTAAAGGGTGTTTAATCTCACAAATACATTAAATAATACTCATTTGGGGAAAAACAATCAAAAAAAGGCATTACAAATAACATCAAAACTTCAAGGTTAATCAATAATTATAACGATGCAATACTCATGCTTCTCGTTCCCAACCAAATTCATCTTAAGTCTAAAGCATCTCACACATCATTAAGAATAGGAAATAGTCGGTGTAAGTTAGTCGGTCTCATATATGGACTCATCTTGCTCGAAACATATGCCCATTACATATAAACCACATGAAAGGTAGTCACATTATCATGACATTACCCTAAATTGATTATATTATGACATTTCAGTCATATTATAATTATAATTAGTTAAATAGTTAAAGTTAAATAAAGTCATATTTTCGTTCAACAAGGTAAGTCAACTCCTTATTCTCTTGGGTTGGACTAAATAATCACATATAATTAGTTAAGATTATGAAATTAGTATTAACTATTAAAATTTAATTTATTTTTCTATTTAAATAACATTTTAACTTACCCAAGAAGTCGGATGGTACAATTATCTTGAAATATAAATTAATTAAAAAAAATAACATGTTATTAATATATTTTGAGTTTTATTGATAATAAATTAATAACATACATTCAATCTATTTAAGATGATTATAATAAGGGTTATTGTCACAGTAGTCCAACAATATTTAGTACATTGGTTTAAATGGTCCCTCGTGATTTTTTTTTTGCCTTTGAAGGGTACGAACTTGTGTTTTACCGGTTAATTTGGTATTTTTACCCATTTATGAAGGTTACACTGCCTTGTTAACTGCCAACTAGGCAGGTGAGTCAACAATGACTCGGTGGTGAGTCGACTCATCGTTGCCACGTAAGCCAAAACCTAATTGCCACAAATATAGAACTAATCCACCAGTTTACATCGGGACGTGAAGGCTTGCGAATAGTAACAATGGAGCTTCTTCTTCGTCATTAACACCATGTACTTCTCCTACGTTGTAATTCCAAAACCAAAATCCTGGAAAGTGTAGGTGAGATTTCCTGACGTGGTGGTGGGTGTAAACAGAGAGAAGGGGTGGCGGTGGTGACTGGATTTTCCGGTATGATGGTGGCAGGAAAGATGATGAAGTTGGTGGTGTGTGTTTGTATGGGTTACCAAGTGTGTATTTGTGTGGTATCTGATAGCAGCAAAAACCACCCTTGATTCACAACCTCCAAAAATCACAGCATCACTACCCCTTATTTGGGAACACATAAATCGATGGGTTTTGTCGATCATCTTACTCTTCATGAGATATGGATTTTGACGATGATTACGACGAAGACGAAAATGAAACAAATTTTGATGATAAGGAGATTATAGATGTTAATAAGTGGTACCTTGGTCATCTTCGTCGCCTTCACCGACATCCAGTTCCTCGGGAAGAAAAGAGTACTTTAGGATTTTAGAAACCAATTTCAAGAAAACAAATTGATTTCAAGCAAACATCTTAGAAAAACGATTTCAGAAACTGATTTCAAGCAAACATTTTGATTTAGAAAATCAAATTCATATGCCGATTTCAAACAAACATGTTGATTCTAGAAACCGATTTCAAGAAACATTTCGACTTAGAAAATCGATTTTAGATACCGATTTCAAGCAAACATTTCGATTTTATAAACGAGTTCAGTTCTAACAGACAAAGTTACTCATCATGATTGTTGGAGAACCCATAAAGACAAAGATGGCGATGGTTAGTGAAGGAAATGGGCGGCGATTTTTCCCTAACAACAACATCGACGTGGTGTGATTGGTGAAGGACGATCAGTGATTAAAGACTAAAGATGGTAAAGAATAGCGATGGTAGACTCGGTGGTATGGGTTTCGACGAACAAACATGGGTTTTGAAAGCTTCGATTTATAGAAATCTTGACCGGAGATGGGTGCTTGAACGTTGATGGCATCGTCAACTGAGAGAAGAAGATATAATGGACTGATGATTAGAATGGGGGTCACCGGTGACTCCTTCAAATTTTCTATAATAACCTTTTAAAACCTAAAAACATAAGTTCGTAACCTTGAAATGCAAAAATAAATAAATAAAGGACCATTTAAACCAATATACTAAACATTGTTGGGCTACAGTGACAATAACCCTAATAATAATAACAATTAAACCTAACATAATGAGGTTGCCATCCCATAAATATTTTTTACCCTTTACCATTATAATACCTAACACCTTTTTCAACATATTACATTATATTCATGTATCGGTTGTGTACGACATTATTTGTTGTCCACATATAAATACCGATATGGATTAATTTTTTTTAATAAAAAAAAGAATCGACTTTTGTTACAGCAACTAACTTTTTCTTCTCACTCGTTCTCTTCTAATCATTGATGTTAACCAATGTAACAACCCTAATCAATTATTTCTCAAAGTCATACCCACAATTCCATCTCTCTTTGTTATATTTTGTCATTTTGACTCATCGCCCGATAGTGAATTCGACTTATTTGAACATAAATAACCATCTTAAAAGGGGGTAGGTGACTATAAACGCATAGTAGAGGGACCACCTTTGTAATACATTCAATTAATCTGGACATGAATCACAGATTTCTACACGTGGAACGGTAGAAAGTCTGAAACCTTTCACGAGAGGATTTTCCGTTCTCACTCTTACTCTTTCAAACCCTCCCTCCACACGCACCTTGGCCAACCTTCACATTTTCTTGGTATTCATTCTGCTCTTTTCTTCTTAATCAGATCCAAACCCTTTTTTAATTGCATCAAGAATTCTCTGAAGATCGAATCTTTCTCAAGATTTTGTTCTTTCTTCCTCTTATACCTCGGAAAACAGAGGGTTTGCTTAGAAAATAATAACATAATTTGATTAATCTTCGTTATGAACACGTTTCCTCATCAGGGGTTTTCATGTATCAGTCATATGAACACAGAAACATAGAATATTCAATTAATGTGTAGACTTTGCTTACGATTTCAGTCAAATGCCATTTCTTTAGTTCCTTACTACATTGAGATCTTCAACAGAAAAGTAGCTTTCTGTGCTGTGAAATCACTCTTTATCTGGCCACAAAATCCAAAATCTTGATTTCGAATCTTGGGTTTTAGCCATTTTTTGATCTTTTATAAAAAAGAGTGATAAAAAGATGGATTCTTGTTGTGCTACTTTCAAGCCTAATCTGCATGTTCGAAAAGGTATCGATGGAATCGAAAATGGGTTCTGGGGAAACAAGATCAAACCTTTTGCAACTCATTTCTGTAAAAGTTCAAGAACTCAAACGCGAAAAATCAAGAAACTTGGGGTTACTCAATCTGTTCTTGAATCACCGGTTGATGAGGAGATGCTGGTAAGTTTACATGAATTTTATTGATCTTCGTTAAGCTTTTCGAGTTGGGTGTTTGTAAATTTTTTATTTTTTCAGAAATTCGAGACACCATTCTTTGATGAACGAAAAGTAGACCCTAAAACAGTAGCCTCCATTATCTTGGGTGGTGGTGCAGGAACTCGACTCTTTCCTCTTACTAGCAAACGAGCTAAACCAGCTGTAAGTTCGAATCCTGCTAAATTCATATTTGGAAACTGATTATTGTTATAATTAACCTGTTAATTCTGTTAATCAACTCTGATTATTTAAGTATACAGGTTCCAATTGGTGGATGTTACAGACTTATCGATGTTCCAATGAGTAATTGCATTAATAGTGGGATACGAAAGATCTTCATCTTGACACAGTTTAATTCGTTTTCACTCAATCGTCATCTTGCTCGAACTTATAACTTCGGAAATGGAATGAGTTTTGGAGATGGATTTGTGGAAGTATGACGTTTTTATTTTGCAAATTTCGAGTTATTAAACTCTTGTTCTTTATAATTTTCTTGAGAAAAGAAAACACTAATAATTTCGATCCATTTTTTCTTGGTTTTAGGTTCTCGCTGCTACTCAAACACCAGGGGAAGCAGGAAAGAAATGGTTTCAAGGAACAGCAGATGCTGTTCGCCAATTTATATGGGTGTTTGAGGTGATAACTTAATCATGATTTTTTCTTTTTGAAGTTTTTTTGATGATAAGTTTATGGAAATTGTTTAGTTAATTGGGTTTCATTTCATATGGTTTATTGTAGGATGCTAAAAACAAGAATGTTGAGAACATATTGATATTATCGGGTGACCATTTATACCGAATGGACTATATGGACTTTGTTCAGGTGCTTCTTGTCGATATATATTTTATATTTACTTTTTGATTATCAAATATTGATTGTTGGAAAATGTTTTTGTAGAAACATGTTGACACAAATGCTGATATAACTGTTTCTTGCATTCCCATGGACCACAGGTATGTGGTAAAAAAAATTTACAAGTTTTTGTTACTTAATACAGAAAGAACGACTTAACAAAAAACTTACAAGTTTTTGTTACTTAATACAAAAAGAACGACTTAACAAAAAAAGTCTGGGAAATAATGTTTTTCCATTTTAGGTCATTTATCATGTCTTAATTTCTCTTGTTTTGCTTTGTAGCCGAGCATCCGACTATGGATTAATGAAGATTGACAAGACAGGACGAATAGTCCATTTTGCTGAGAAGCCAAAGGGCAACTTGCTAAAATCAATGGTGAATAAGTGTACAATTTTTTAATTTTGTTAAGGTTAGATATAAATCTTGTTTTGTGTAATACAATTAACATGTTGTGTTTCATTTTTTTCAGCAAGTGGACACCACTCTTCTAGGGTTATCTGAGCATGAGGCCTTGAAAAACCCTTACATTGCATCAATGGGCGTTTACGTCTTTCGAACCGATGTCCTTCTAAAACTTTTGAGATGGAAGTACCCTTCATGCAATGACTTTGGGTCTGAAATTATTCCTAGTGCGGTTGCAGAGCACAATGTCCAAGTACGACTCACTGTCTGCAATTTTTGTCTCATTGATATCAGTCTCAGTCTTGTTAAACAAAGTCTCATTCATATCATGTTTAAATCTTGAACGCTAATTTAGTATCTTTGTTGCATTTTCAGGCGTATCTATTCAAAGATTATTGGGAGGACATCGGTACTATAAAGTCTTTTTTCGATGCAAACCTAGCCCTAACCGAACAGGTGTCCTACCAAACCATATTTACACAACACAAGAGGTTTTGTAATGCTTTTTATGGACTAAAATTTTCTTTTTTTCAATATGGGCAGCCTCCAAAGTTTGATTTCAATGATCCCAAGACTCCTTTCTTCACATCACCAAGATTCTTGCCTCCTACTAAAGTCGAAAGATGCAGGGTATATATGCTCACTTTATAATGTCTCATGTTTAATATATTATTCCGTTTCTTTAAAAAAAATCTTGTTCTTTTTTATAGATTGTTGATGCGATAATCTCCCACGGGTGTTTTTTGCGCGATTGTAGCGTTCAACACTCGGTTGTTGGGGTGCGGTCACGTCTAGACCAAGGCGTTGAGCTTAAGGTGAACATTATCATAACAAACAGTTTTGTACTGTGTTTGTGTTTGTCATGCATTGGACTGAGATTGATAACAATGTGACATAAAGTGCCAATTTTTTCATTGGACAAAGACTATCACGTGTTAGTGTTGAGACATGAAAGTGTGAATCTTGTTGGCCTTTTGACATAGTTAAATGACATATTTGCCCTTGTTAGGATACGATGATGATGGGTGCGGACTACTACCAAACGGATGCGGAAGTTGCGGCTTTTATAGCAAGTGGGAGAGTTCCAATCGGTGTGGGACAGAACACGAATATCACGTGAGTCTTGTCCTTTCCCTCTCCTTGCATCAAATATAAGCATGTTTGTTTTTAGATTGTGATCATCTTCATCTTGCTTTGTTTTTTTGTAATATTGGTTAAATAGGAATTGCATAATCGATAAGAATGCCAAGATTGGAAAAGATGTGGTGATTGCAAACAAAGATAATGTGGAAGAAGCAGACAGATCGGATGAAGGTTTTTACATAAGATCGGGGATAACTGTCATCCTCAAGAATGCAACCATTAAAGATGGAACCATCGTGTAGTAAAAAGGAATTAGAATTAGAATCTGTTGTTTTCACAGCATGGGTAATAATATTAATTCAGTGTAGAATATTAACAGTTTCTTTCAACGTACGTAAGCAATTGGTGTACTAATACTCGCTTAACCCTGTCAATAAATGAGTCGTAACACTTTTCAATTATATATTTTGTTGTTGTTGTTGCGTTCTTTGACATTTTTAGTTTCTTAGGTTTGGAAAAGAAATGTGAACTTTGTTAACTTAACTCAAATGAAGACACATAATACACCATTCAATGTCAAATTCCAGGTATAATGACTTCTCACATGTGCTCTGACATATGAGAAATCATATACCCGAAACCACTGAACTCTTTTCTCTTTTCCATTTGGTAAATCACAACATCAATAAAGAAAATAATACATATCTTGAATAAATAAATAATCACCCCCACCCCCAAAACCAAACACCATGACTTTCTTCCAAACGATAAGAACCTCTTACCTAGTTAATGTGGGAGTCTGCTATATTTATCTTTCTTCAGAGTTGAATTTATTCCAAGCCGCCTTTCAACATACACAAAAATTATTATAATTCAGCCAATAATAGAAGATCAATTACAAAAGGTTAATACATCAACAGTACATTGCATATATACCTTTAAAAGATCAAAAACCTTTTCACATATATACTTATGTTGAATGCTTGCCCCTCGTTGTTGCAACTTGTCAGGATGAACACAAAGAGTAGCTTTCCTGTAAGCTTTCTTTACAGCGCTCCTCCCTATAATCTCTGTCAATGGAATCGGTTGCCAACCACTTTCACCTCCAAGAATCTGAGACAACTCCAATAATTTAATTAGTTTAACAAAAAAAAAATATTTATATATTTAAAATACTTTCTAGCTATTTCTCATTTAATACTTTTTTTTTTTTTTTACTTCTACAGTTCTACATACATATTGTAGTGTTGAAAGCAATGCACGCAAGTTCCCTTCTTTCCCATTTGACCACCTCTTGATATCAGCGTCAAGATTCTCCGCTAATCTCTGAAATACAACATGTTTTGTTTTGTTATAACAAATTAAAATAAATCTTTTTTTTATTTATTTTTAAATCAGGATTCATTACATTTCTCTCGGCTTCTTCCTTTTGAGCAAGCAAATCCCGCTTCTCTTTTTCTGCAAGCGCTTTAGCCTAAAAAAAAACAATCCCACCAAATTAATAACTTAAAATCGTTACATTTATGAGTCATGATTCAATCATGGAAGAAATCAATACATACCGCTCTTTCCATGATTCGATTGTCCTTTTCCAATTTCGCTTTACTTCTTAAAGCCGATTCAGAAGTTGTTCCATTAGAAGTGCGTGAAGAATCCTGCAAGGGCTTTTTAGTCATTGCCTTCTCTAAAGCTCGTTGTCGAGCCTCTGATGTGGCTCTCTCGACTGCAGCTCGCTCAGCTCTCAGCTTCGACTGCGCAGAAGCTTTTGCAGCGTCAGCCCTCATTCGCTGTCTTATTTCTTCGGTGGCTTTTTCAACAGCAGCTCGTTCGGCTCTTTCACGAGCCCGCTCACGCGCTTCACGAATTGCTCTGTCGACAGCTAATCTGTCTTTCTCCCGCTCCCTTTCTCTAGCTGCCACCTCATCAATCCTTTCCTTTGTGGTTTCAATTTTGGGGGTTTCCTTGTCGGGAAGTTGGATGTTAGTTTGACTTTTTTCTTCTTCTTCTTCTTCCCTTGAAGATGATGATTCGGATTCAACATCGTTCTCTTCGGATCCATTAGTGTCGTCAGATTTCACTTCGTATTCATCCTCATAGTCATCAGAGGAAGTTTGATCTATTGAAGTCTTTTCAATAACTTCATCTTCTGTTTCCTTCATTGCTTCTGTATCATCATTAACCTCTTGAGTTGTTTCCATATTGTTATCGTTTATATCAACTTTGCAAGACTTGTGTGTTTCCATTTCTTCCATAACGTTATGATCAAGTTCCAAAGTTTTCACCTTTTGATCACCTATGTGGTTATCTTCCTGTTTCTTCTCAAAATCGTCTTTTTGTAACTTATTGTGATAGATTCCTTCACTCTCTTTACTTTCTTGTATGTTATCACTTGCTTCATCATCACTTTTCTCTGCATTCTTGAGGTGTTCTTGTTCAAGAACCTCTTCTTGTTTCTCATTATCTGATAAAACAGATTCTAGGGGTACTTTCTTCTCATCTTCTTCAACCTTTAAAGACACAGTTAAGTCGTTCGATTCTCTGGAAATATCAATTTCTACTGTTTCGTGTGTAACTTGTGTAGAATTTGAAACAATGGTATTATCTTTCAATATCAAAGATTCTTTAGTTGATTCTGAAAATTTTCCATGTATTTCATCTATAACCCTTTTTGCAACAGAAAGTTTCTCACTGTCCATGAAATCTGGAAAAACGACTGTATCACCATATTTACGGTTTCTACCCACAACATGTGATGAAACAGAAGCAGTGTTTCTTTCAAATACCCCTCTCACTTCATCTTTGCATTTTGGTTCTTCAACTTTCAAGCTATCTTTGAAGCTTTTACTTGAAAAGCTTCGAAGCCCTTTCTTCTTTCTTCCAACTGATTCTTTTGCAATCCGTATACTTTCTTGAGCCTTCTCTATTGCTTTCTTCAGAGCAGCTGCAGAAGCAGAAGCAGCTGAATTGGCATCACCTTCTGCATCAAAATAACTTTCAGAAGCATCACTTTCACATGACTCGGAATTCATAGCTGTTGATCTTTTTGGATAATCTTTATGATCAACTATGTTATTTGGTGAAGATGAAGGTGATGATACTGTAGAGGGGTGATGTTTACTTCTTTTAATGGAATCTAAACTAACATGAACTGCTGCGGAATCCTGCTTCTTGGCTTCCATTAATGGAGGAACTGCTTCATCAATGAAACGAGTAAATCCAGGTATGGCATGTAATTGTGTGACATGTCTTGTCCCATGATCTAACCCATCTTTATTTTTTTGGCTGATCTTATTATATGACATGTTAAATTGCTTCAAGGCATCAGCAGAGTGACGAGACAAATTATCTGAATCTGGTGAAGATGATGTTTTTGATGAAGGAGCCCTAAAACCAACATTAATGGAGAAAAAGGTTACGACTTGATTTCGAAATTCAAGAGTAGTTAGCAGTATAAAACCGACTAGTGAAACAGGATTTATCAGCTGCAAAAGAGGGAGAATTTGAACCCGAGAAACGATAGAAGCCCCAAGTTCTAACTTTCTTTTCGGTATATTCGAAACATAAGAGCCAAAAACGTCTCAATTTTTCATAAACTACAAACATTATAGAAATCAAGCACCATTGTCATTCCCAAAACTGCCGTTCAGAATAATATCAGGATGCCTCTGTTTCAATCGAACAACGAGAAAGACAAATTTTACCAAACGCGTTTCAAAGAATAAAAAATCACCTGGCTTTGTCGCGAGCAAATAGTTCTTCATAAGAAACAGCGACATCTTCGTCACGAATGCCACCGAAAATCTTAGAGTAATCCGGCTCCGAACTCCGGAAGTTCAAGTTCAAGTGCAAATTCAAGTTCAAAGCATCAGAAGAAGGTTCTCTTAAGGTTGAAAGATCAAGCACAGGAATTGATGAAGCAGCAGGGGAGTTAGCGAAAATCTCACGGTAGTCTTGAACGTCAATAGGCGAAGCTCCGGGGTAGTTGTGGCGGTGGCCGGAAAAAACGCCGTCGTAGGAGTTTCTGGGTGAGAAGGTAGTTGCATTGGAAAGTTTTCTGGGGAGAAAAGGACGTGAGAGAGACTCCATTTCTAGGGTTTTAAAAATGAATGTTTTTTGTATGATTGTTTTATTTTGGAATTAGTGTAAGGTTTTGTGGTTGTTTGTAGAGGCAGTGCTGCAGAGACAAGACAAAATACAAATCGGAGGGAGGTAGGAAGAAGGAAGAAGACCAGAAGGGCATAACCGGAAATTACAGTACCATCATCTTAATTGTATGTTTTCTTTATCATTTTATATAAAATAAAATAATATTTTTTTTATTTAGCAATAATAATTTTGTATTTTTTATTGTTATATTTGATTGGAGACATTATGGTTATAAGTTAAAACAAATTTAACATTTAATCGTTTAATCTTAACAATAAAAATTGGAATATATTAAACGTTGTTTATAATAATAATAATAATAATAATAATGCTTATCTATAAATATATTGTAGATTTGTATAAGCTTTTATTAATTAAATTAGATGTTATTTTGTTTTAATTTTTTATATGGAGACAAACTTTAAAGAATCCTTCAGAATAATTTTTTTTAAGAAGATGATTGTCTACCTTGCAACAAGTATGAGACCAATTCTAATCATCTAATATTATATTAAATTTCAAACTTACCTATTTATTATTTAGGTCGGGCTTTTCTTAGTTTTAGCAACATGCTATAATAATCAATATTTTTAACTTAAAAGTTTAAAAGTTAGTAAGGTTATTTATATATTTTTTTAAGGAAAATGAAATGATGAGGAAGGTGTAAAAGGGATTCTATGTTCTTTATTGTTTCTTGGCCGCGTAAATCTCCAAGTTGTGTCGGTGTATTTTCTGTAATGGGTTGTTTATTACCGCAATAAATTATATTTTAATTTGATAAATAATTCTTAAAATATAAGGATAGTCACAAAAAAATTTCATATAATTTTAGAAAAATACTGTAATTGCTTTACTTTTTTTGGATTTACCCAAGTGATCATTATATTGGATAATTTATATTATGGATTAAATTTATTTTGTTTTGGATTACCTTATATCAAATCAATATATTTTTGCAAAAAAATACATTTTAGATTTGAATTCCTAAGCGGAAATTGGAATCCACACTAAATATTGTGGAAAAAGCTAAACAAAAATATATTCAAAGTAACAAAAAACTTAAAATGATATATATATAAAAACAAACTATACAAGGCCATAAAAATGTTTCATTTAGGTGAAAAACTTATGATAGTAAAATTTTGGATTTAAGAAGATACAAAGAAATTTGGTAAGTGCTTGGTGGTGTAGACATGGAAAAAAAAAATCCAAAATGCCTGTTTTCAGAATTAATGGTCATTTTAGAAATGAATAAAAATTAAATCATTTACTTTAATTCTTTACAATCATCTAGACATAATAAGAATGATATCGG